TATGATGTATCAACGGGGACTTGGTCATATACTAGTAGCATGAATAATGCACGAGCTTCCCACACAGCATCCGTATTAACAAATGGAAAAGTGTTAGTTACAGGTGGATATGATAATGCTGGTAATACAAATAGCTCTGAATTGTATGATCCATCAACGGAAACTTGGACAAACACTGGTAGCATAAATGATGCACGAGCTTACCACACAGCATCCGTATTAACAAATGGAAAAGTGTTAGTTACAGGTGGATATGATAATGTTATTTATACAGCTAGTGCAGAACTATATTGATCAACATAAATAAGTTAACGATAAATGATTTTTGCTCTTTTATCCAAATAGTCCCATCGTAGAGTACTGTTTTAAGAAGATGATTGTCTTATTGTAATAACGATGAGCTGTTTCTGTTTAAGTATTTGTTGAATTGTCTTAATTACTTTATAATAAGAAGCAAATTTTTCATGTTAATCGTTATTTTATCTTCAGAAACTGCTTTATTTTGGTTTCCCATGTAAAACTGAGAATGAAGAACGAGATTTGAGCTTAAGCGAACAGAAATTAATCAAACATCAGAACTGCAGACTAGGCATGCAACAATCCCAAACTAGGAATCGCTGATCGGCACCGAACGGTTTGTTACCGAACATGTTCGATCACCAAACCGTTCGCAATCGAACATGTTCGATCAACGAACGGTTCGCTGCTGATCAGCGAGCCCTAGCTTGGGATGGTTGCATGCCTGATCTGGACTAAAGGCAAATTGAATGAAATTGAAGCTTTTGAAGGAACTAACCAGTGAGAAAATAGACTAAAGTACAATGTGAAGGAATGTGTCTTCTACTGCAGACACTGTAAAACAGAAAAAATGATGAAGATTACACCAAACGGAGGAGCAGCCTTGATTACGCCGTAGCCGTTGGTAGTCATGTAAACAAAAGTTTGAATCAGAGCAGCAAATTTATGTTTACTTTGTTCCAGGAAGTTGAAAGTACCTTTAGTTTCCATTATATCTGATGTGCTCTCTAATTAGTCACTAACCTGGCCTCTGTATAGCAGATTGATTTACTTTGTTTTCATGCAAAGATGGTTTTTCTCACGGTGCAGAAAAAAGTAGACAGACAGTTGCAGCTCTAATTTGAATGTATCTTTATAAGGTTTATGGTACTTTGTCCTAATAGTTTGTCAGCACAGCGCTCATCGATGTCTCTGGTGAGAAAAATATAAACTATCGTATTTACAATCTTCGTTCGAACACGTTCGATAGCGATCCGGTAGAAGAGACATTCGCTCACATTGTGCTTTAGTTAATCTATTTTCTCACTGGTTACTTCCTTCAAAAGCTTCAATTTCATTCAATTTGCCTTTAGTCCAGATCAGGC